GTGCTGTCACCGCTGATTTAGAAATCACGAGGAATTGGTAGTCGGACACTAACGGAGAAATAAATCATCACTGGTTTGTTATCCAGGAAAGCCGGCTAGGTGGATCGACAAGTCGAGATTTGGCCAAAAAAGTATTAAGATCGGCTTAAAAAACAAATGAGCAACGTCACGGCAAAATCAACATAATGCGTTTGCGATCAGCATGGAGTTAAATGAGCCGTGCCATGACAAAACCTACATAATGGATTTGCGACCAGCGTGGATCCAGACCAGCCTGCGCATCCTCACAGCCTGATCAGGATCCATGCTGTTCGCTATTAGTTTATCTACTTGTTATAGGGTTTGTAAGCGAACAGCATGGATCCTGATCAGACTGCGCGGATGCGCAGGCTGGTCTGGATCCATGCTGGTCACAAACGCACTATGTTTGTTTTGTCGTGACGCGGCTCATTATTATTTGCTGAGGTTCACACGATTCCTATGACATATGTGTCATTTATTGTAAATTTCTATGGAATTACAATCATTAACTGTAGCACAAGCACGTGAATTTTTGCTGCCATTTTCATGAACGTTTATAAATGTGGAGAAAAATAGTTGATAACACTAGATAACTTGAAAATCTCGTATATTTGATTTGTCCTTTATAGTGAAGAGAAATACAATTCATAGAACAAAAAATGGATGTAAATGTCTACGTAATTTTATTCATGGTCAGTTTCATTGATTTAGGATCGTGTGGTGAGTAAAATAACAAATTTGATTGCTCATTGTCTGTCCAGAGTATATACTTATTATGTAAATGATATTTCTTTATATTATATAAAATGGAAGTGTACATTAAATATAGCATGTCCCCGTATCTAATTTTTGATTTCTTAAATTAAAAAGAAATGTTATTCAATAGTAAAATGCATATACATGTATAACTTTATTCCGTGCAGATTTTAATAGTAAAAAATTTGATAAGATGTAGCTAATTGATTTCAAACAAAATATTTAGTTGAGATACCATTACAGTAGCTTATCTGAATATTGACCATGAATTTAAGAGTTAAATGAGCCGTGCCATGACAAAACCTACATAATGGACTTGCGACCAGCGTGGATCAAGACCAGCCTGCGCATCCTCGCAGTCTGATCGGGATCCATGCTGTTCGCTTACAAACACTATTACAAGTGGAGAAACTGATAGCGCACAGCATGGATTCTGACCAGACTGCGCGGATGCGCAGGCTGGTCAGGATCCATGCTGGTCGCAAATGCATGACGTTGGTTTTATCATGACACGGCTCAAATAGCTTTTATTACAATGTATAACAATAACGCAATGATTTATTTAATAAAGAGAATCCGTACGTGCTGTCACCATCTGATTTAGAAATCACGAGGAATTGGTATTCTTGCATATCAGACTGGCGTTTCCGTTAGTTTTACCCATGCCGGAAATTTCATCTGGCATAGGGGGTGCCAGATGAGTCGCGTGCTGTACAGTGGCACGCTTTGGATGCTGTAATTTTACCGTTATGAATAAAGTTATTTTATACGCTTTTGTACGAAAATAGTTACTGTTGTAATGACATAAATTCCCATAGAAAATTAAGATAAAGAATTTAAAATATAATGTAATATCGTAAAATATGCAAGAAAAAATATTTGACATGTTTGCGGGTCGGGTCGGAATATCCGTCCCTCGGTAACCCACCCATGGGCGGTAACTCGGCAAGCCTCGTTACCGCCCAATGGGCGGGTCACCTCGGGACGGATATTCCGATCCGAACCGCAACATATGACAGATATTATTAGTCGGACACTAGCGGAGAAATGAATCATCACTGGTTTGTTATCCAGGAAAGCCGACTAGGTGGATCGACAAGTCGATATTTGGCCAAAAAAGTATTAAGATCGGTTTAAAAAACAAATGAGCAGCGTCACGGCAAAATCAACATAATGCGTTTGCGATCAGCATGGATCCAGACCAGCCTGCGCGTCCGCGCAGTCTGATCAGGATCCATGCTGTTCGCTTACAAAATCTATAACAAACAGAGAAACTGATAGCGAACAACATGGATCCTGATCAGACTGCGCCGAAGCGCAGGCTGGTCTGGATCTATGCTGGTCGCAAATGCATAACGTTGGTTTTGTCGTGACGCGGCTCAAATAAATACATTTTTTGAAAAATGATGTTTAAATTCATTCATTTTAATTCAGTTGACAGCGAATAACAACAGTTTGTGCCTAAGTCTGCAAAAGTAATCTTCTCAGCATGAATTTTATTTATGTATGTTAAACAATTTTGCAATTTTCAGATGTATTGCAAGGTTCAGAATTTGTTTGAAAGAATTCCCTGAAAATCTAGCAATGTGTTTGTTTAAATAATTGTAGCACTGAGGTGACATGTTCAAGGTTTTATATGTCTAATGCGCACGAAAGCTAAGTTGTTCGCACAGGATACGTATTCATGCACATGAGCTACTTATAATGAGCATGTCGTTCATAAAATATAGTTATGTCATGTGCACGATTTAAAAGTCGTGCGCACAAGTATTAAAGGATTAGGTATTACATTGCTGCTAACCCTAACCCGACTAAATTATCTTGTATGCACGACAAAGTAACTCTAGCGCATGGCATACAAACCCGCACGCACGACAAAGTATCTCGTGATTACGTATGTACAAGATGAATAAAAACATTCACATGTCACCTCTATGCCACCGTACAAACACTTCAATAAGATAACAAATAATAATAATATATTCACCGACTAAACTTCATAGCACCAACATCGTACATTTATTCCTTTAAAGTTTTCAGTGGAACATAATGCGATTTATGTGCTACTCTAAAGACACTTGTATCATAAATTAGCGGGTCAAGATCCAGGCAGTTAAGGTCGCCGATTTAAATCACTCGGCCTCCACCACTGATGTATGTCGGTGGTTCTAAGCAGGTGCCTGTCTCCCTCCCCCACCACCACCATATAAGTTTGATAGTCGCCATGATAATAGATACATTTTCATCCGAGAACTTAATCATACATTAATCAAGTTTGTATGATGGCTGATTTGTGCCATCCGTGTTTTAGCCCCGCGACCCCGACAAGCGAAAAGTCGAGAATTTACGAGTTAAAATGGCGGGGCCCAAAGCAAAAACATACTTATTAGCGAGGGCACAGAATGAAGTTTTGATAAATGAAACTTCGTCCCACGGGGCGCGGAGTGAGATGTTAACACGATTAGCGGGTGCTAATTGGCCTGTTTTCACTCCGCGCCCCCGTCGTTTTATTTCTCACTTACCAGATAGAAAAATCAGTAAATGTTACTAAAAATAGCAGTGTTGGAAAATCTTATCTCACATGGGCTTATCTCACACTCAACGTGCAGCACTTCTTAAATTACAGGATTTATAAACAGGATTTTTGTTTTGATCCATACCTCAGCAAGTTACCTATGAATTTAGCTTTAATTCTCTTTCAATTTAGAAGTATGAATCACAAACTTCCTATTGAAAAAGGAAGGTTTGATGATATTCCAAGAGAGCTTAGAACTTGTAACCTATGTACTAGTAACTCTTTAGGCGACGAATTCCATTATCTTTTTGAATGTTCACATTAAGTTAATACAAGAAAGCTGTATCTTGATAAATATTTCTATGAACGTCCAAGTGCTTTAAAATTTGAAAAAATAATGAACCATAGTAATAAAGATATCCTTTTGAAACTTGCCATATTTTGCAAAAATATTATGTTATTATTTAAATAATGTTAGCTTATTAGATTTATGTCTTTTCTCTTTGTTTTTTCTCGCAATGATTTTTGATTTTTCTCTCTCATCCTCCATTATCAGTCAATTATTACTGTAATTTTATTACATCATGGAGTTGTATGACCATTTATTATTTGCCATTTTGTATTATTTTGTATGTATGTAATGTTTTATGTTGTCACATGCCCATATGGGCCCTGACTATTCAAATAAACCTTGAAACCTTAAAACGTATTCCTACACATTCGCGATTCACTCATATTTTAACAAAAATGAAACGTCAAAAGGTCAAAATGTATTAAAAATATGTGAGCTAATCTATTAATTTTTCCACGTAATCAAAATAGATTGATATTAACTTTCACTCTGCAATGAGTCCTACTCTACCTAGGTCTGCCCTTTTCAATATGACGAATCTCATTTTGATATATTTTAATTGAATATTCGGCCAAAATAACCGAATAAGTAAAAAAATCTTTGCAAACGGTAAACGCTTTTTGTCAACCATTAAAGTATGGACTGAATTCCTTATAAACACTTATATTATGACAGTTACCGACTTAAATATTGATGTGTTTCATCATGATAACCTTGCTTTTTGATGAGGGATCTCTTATGAATTTATTTTCATTGAATTTTTCACACATAGAACTTTTTGCGGACGTACATAATGCATAGAAAGTCAGGCGCCTAAGCCCCGCCCCGCTTTTCAAAACTAGGTACTTTGACATAATGCGCGTACCAAGTAGTTTCACTAATATTTATACATGTATTTTGTTTCTTGTGTGGCCAGGTGAGTGAAAAAACACTCAACCATTGGGTTAGATAGATTATAAGGAAATCCCAACCCTCGCCAAGGCTCGTTCCTGATCGAACCGATCACCCTCGGGTTAGGATTTCCCTATCCTCTATCTTATCCAATAATAGATTCTATTATTTTTAAACCTCGCTCCGCAACCGCGCTGGGCGAAGTTTTATTTGTTTGACTTCGCCCCGCGTCCCCGCCATTTTTACTTTTTAATTCTCGACTTTTCGCTTAGCTTATATATATATGGATTTCAATTCTAATAAGCTGAAATTCTGATAAAAAAAAAAAAAAAAAAAAAAAAAACGAAAAAAAAAAATCACGAAAATCAGTTTTATAAATGTATTTTTTGTTATGGGTATATTTAGCTTATCATGTATTCAAATAATCTGATAATGATCTTATTCTTCCTCTTTTATTATTGATGTGTAACAATAACGGGTTCTCAGTATGTAAACCGGACTGATGACATACATTTAGTGTGTAAAGCAAATGGTATAGACAGAGCACCAGAAACTGTTGACTGGTTTTTCAAAGGCGAAAGAATCAGTATTTCAAGTCTGCAATGGAAAACTCGAGTGCAGATAGTAGAACGCTCGTTCCCCAAAGAACGTTTTTATGTTAGTGAATTAACAATACATCGTAGTACAGTTGGGGATCAAGGAACCTATGTGTGTCGGAGTTCTGATTTAAATATTGGGAGTATGAAAGTTCATGTCTTTAATGGTAAGTGGAATTACAATGTTTGCCCACCAAAATATTAATGAGAACTATAGACATATGAACACTGAGTTTAAAAAGCAAAGAAAAAAAAGTACCATAAAATCTAAAATTCTTACATAGACCAACTAGGGCACTTAAACAGGTAGAGATGCAAAATATATAGAAATAGACGCAGATATATATTAACAATCGTATTTTGTTTAGCCCGATTTAAATGTAAAGCTTTAAAACTTTTCTATTTTCGGTCATTTTTCACAAGTGAAATTATAATTCTGAAAACCAAACTGAGTAAGCGAATTATCTGAAGATATGCACAACAGTTACTGATGTAGACATACATCAATAAAAAAAATAATTTCCAATCCCGTCGCAAAAAGAAACTCAGTGGAGCCCCTTAAATGGTTCTGTAAAAACGAAAACTAGAAAAACAATTTTATGTTTCTAAATACGTCTTAAGTCTATATTTTTCTCCATATTACCTTTTTAAAAACTCAAAGCTAAGCTTGAGATAATGATTGGAAATGTCGTATTAAAGTGTATTGATAACAATTCCAGTAAAAACAAAAAAATGCAAATTGTATAATGCTTTCTTCTATATACGTTGATTATATTTATGCACATAGTCTCAAAAACAAAACATTTAACGTACTACAGGAATTTACTTTTGTTTAGTTTGTTATTGCAGCAAATACATGTAAAATAAAATACAAACCATAAGTATTCATAACAAATGCAAATGGGTTGAGCAACATTAGATCACGCCTTTTTCCCTTTTTTAGCTTGATATTTTTTTCATACACGACATGAATATAAAAGTAATTAACACTCGTGTATTTAATTGTTAGAATGAATATGAATCTAGAAAGCGGCAAAACAACTTTTGATACTTATTTTTCAGCAGGTAATGATGCAGGCACAAAAACACGCGGTAAGTAAGCTACATTTTTATATTAAAAAAAAGAAAAAAAAAAGATTATTTGTACCGGTTCCTCTAGAGTCTATTCACCAGAAGCCATCTTTAAATAATATGTTTAGCTTGAGCTGTTTGCATAACCTAGCACATGTGCTCATTCACCTGGCCATCATTAAGAAATAACTCACGATGAACTAAAGCTTAACATAACCTATATTGTATTTAAAACAAAAAGATTTTGTTCTGTTTTGTTCTGTTCTGTATTTAGAGGTTAATACTTGGTTGTCCCTCACCATACGATAATGACCTAAAGATCATTAAGATGATCAGTGGTTCTTGTTAGGTGCCCGTTCTTGCCCACAATAATGCACGAAGGGACACATGAGGTCTTCCTCCACCTGTAGAGCTGGATGATCGCCGTATGATCTTTACAATATCGGCGTGACTAAAGGCCAACACAAGAAACAAACAAACAAAAAAACAAACAAACAAACAAAATTTTTGCGTATAAATTTTGAATGCTTTCAAAGAAGATGAAATCAAAATGTGCAATAAAAAAGTGTAAATATAACCTTTTTTGATAATTTATTATTGATAAAAAGGAGTAAAACGCCATATACATTCAGAATAAGTATGTTTTCACAAAACTGGAAATGAAGTTGAACCTTTCTTTTGAATTAAAGTAAAACTTCCCTTTTCACCGGTACAAGGCTCTTAGCATTGGCCCAGGAAAAGTTTGATCAGAGCTCTGTGCATGCATCAGTTGTATGAATGTAAATATAAATATGTTTGGATAATCAACAAATAATAGAAGAAGATGTTGAATGCTTTTCTAAACGGAAAACACAAATAGTACTGCATGCGTACACTGGAATGAATGGACGAATAGAATTAGTGAAACACCAATTTCCCCCAAGAACGTTCTTACACCAGTGAGTTGATGATACATCGACCTAGATGTTTCGGAGTTGTAATTTAAATCTGAACAGTTTTAAAAATCAGACGGTTAGTGACAAACAAAACAGTGCTTGCCGACCAAAATGATAATGAAAAATGTATAATATACAATCTTAGTGCTTCTGCTTAAGAAAAAGCTAGTCAGTTCACATTACTTTTCTCAGGTTATCACCGCAGTAAAATGTGATATTCATATAAATAAATGTTATCGTGTTACCTTCTTAATAAGGATTGTATATTTTTTCCTCATAGTTTCAAAAAAACGAAGGATTTTAACATAGTACAAGAATTCATCTTTTTGACTTGATATATTTTTTTTTAAACGATTTTCATTTTTTTATATAAAATACGACATTTAAATCAATATAAATTTCATTTTTGTAAATGTATTTCAATGAGAGTAACATTAAAAAAATAACAAGAACAACAACAAAAACCCAGAAACATATAATTTTATTGTGCATATCAAATGTTTATCTAAAGCTGACATATGAAGTTGACCTTTGAATGTCAGGTCCAAATGCTGCTGAATTGGAGATCATTAGGCGAGATTTAGCCACTATGTTCCTATTAAATTGTGGCTCAATCTGCTTATCATAATTTCTGTATAAATGGCCATCATTGCCTTACGACTGTCTACAAAAACTAGGACATATGCCGTTGGTTACTCTATTTACTATGAAAGTTTATGCTGCAATTTGAATATATTTTAATGATAATCGGAACTGCTTGTTTGATAAAAGTTGGCTTTGCAATTTTATAATCTAATACTGTTAATTAAGGGAAATGTACAATCATGATTGCTTAAAAACCGATAACAGATAAAGTCCCTATTACAAATTTATGTTTCACAATAATGAATTTGAACCTCACTACATGTTATTTCAAAGTCAGCGCCGATGTCTACAGTATCTTTGTCTTTAGTTTGCTTACTATGTGAATGCTTCCTATCATTATAAGTCACAGACAAAAATTCAGTTTCTAGTCATGACGAAAAACGTCTACATAGTAATTACCTGAAAAAGTAGATTTTGGCAGCAAATGACATCAATCTGTTTGCGGCGTGGTTATTTATGATTAAAGCTAGCTTAATTAGAATAGAAATAACTCTAAAATTTACATGTTACCGTCTTCTACATTCTTTTCCGGAAAGTATCGTTACCACGCCGCCCAGCCCCGTATATAGGTGCTAAAAATAACTCGAGTTTTAAAGCAATCAATGGTCCCCGTTATAAAATCTTTTATATATCTATTTTTTGGGGGGTGTAATAAAGAGTCCAATCTTTAGCGATTGAACTGTATAATATGTTAAAAATATAGGGACGCTTTTTATATTTTACATGTTTCCAATTAACTGACAGCAACTAACTGCAGTAAATAACATTTTATTGTATTTCAAGACTCAACAATTTCTGTGTTCGAGAAAGAGACTGCTGTTTTGACATGTTCACTCACAGATCCCGCTTTATCTCATTTTCAGCAGGTAATATATTAGAATGTGTAATACGTGTAACATTTGTTCTCATCATATTCTGCTTACGCCGGCGACAGTTATCTTAACGCAGGCGGCAGTTATCTTTACGCCGGCGCCAGTTATTTTTACGCAAGTACCAGTCATCTTTACGCCGGTGCCAGTCATCTTTACGACAGCGCCAGTTATCTTTACGCCGGCGCCAGTTAGCTTGGACAGAAGCTTGTCCTTACCATTGGCATCCATAAAGTGGCTAAATGAAACCGAATATGCAATTTTTTTAATTCAGTAGTGTTGGGCTATTTTTTTTTTTTTTGGACATTTATAATATATGTAATACAGTTTTATGTTTGAATATGTATATAACGATTCTTCAGTTTTATTCTCTAACACTATAACTTAAAATATTTAGATTTATGCATCTTTCAACCTAGGTTATATGGAGGAAGGCTGGTTCTCCTTACCCATTAACAATAGGCGAAGAGGTTTATACTAACGACAGCAGAATTCACATACAAAAGACTACACGAAAGTGGTCTCTTGTCATACGAAACACTGTTCAAAGTGATGGAGGAGTGTACCAATGTACTGCATCAGATACGGAACAAGGGAGACAAATGCGGAACAATTTCACATTAGAAGTGAAACCTGCGCCCGGTAACATTTGTGTATTTATTCACCCCTTTAATTCAACATAATAAGTCGTGTTTTATGCCACCGCAGCATCTGCGATGCGGTGGCATATTGTGTGTGTTTGTGTGTGTGTGTGTGTGTGTGTATGTTTGTGTTTCCGTAGCATGCACGTTAAAGTTAAATGAAACGAATAACTTTAAATTCATTGAATCACGGAATGTATCCGGGCATGCCAGTATATATAACTTAATATATATTAAATGGATCTGAAATAACATAAATCAATTGTAATCATTAACAAATGCATGGAGCAAGACCGTGACTCCATTGAATTTCAAATATAATATTGTCGATATAAGTATGTTAACAGTGCCCGTTTTGGGTTCGAGCGTGCCAAATGCGAAACACCCTTAAAGTGACATAGTTCGTAAGGAAGGTATAGTAGCGAAAATAATTACTTTATTAACAGTGAAATTGTACCAATTGTAGACTAATCCATTTGAATATCTATGCCGTACACGCAGATTTGCGCTAAAACTGTTTCTATATGTTTGTTGTTTATTAAGAAAGCACTGTCTCTTATTTACTCATGTATTATTATTTACAGAGGATGTAACTGTCACAACCCCAATATCCGCTCAACAGATCCCCGTAAGAATATATATAAAAAGAAATTATTATTGTATGCGGATGTTTCTAAATTCAAAATTTCTCCATTTTCATGTTTAAATCTTGAATTTGCTTAAGCCGGTGCTAGAGGGTGGGGACGGTAACGTGCATTTTCCAGTACCGCCCATCAACAGACTCAATAAAACCAAGTCTGCAACATTTTCAATTTTGTAGTTTTGGGCGTTTATAGAGGTTCTTTTTCTCTTTTTTATTGTACACTTCGGCTGTAACAATAAGGATTGAATATTTGATTTATAATATTTCCTGTAAGATTTTTTAAAATAGTTTCTCAAAAAAATAAACCGTCTTAATAATAGTAAAGAATATTTTAGGATAAAGCCTCTGTTATGCTAGAAATGAATATTTTAGAATACACAAACTCAATCAAACAGAGTCTGCAATTTCATGAAATTTTGTTGCGATTAATGCTTCAGAGGGTTTACCCTTTATCCAGATATTAAAAACTAAAACCGTTATGCTAGAAACGAATATTTTTGGATTTAACCGAAACTGGCATGCTAAAAAAGGAGAATATTTTAGAATAAAACCAAAACGGTTATGCTAGAAAAGAATATATTAGGATTAAACTAAAACTGTTATGCTAGAAAAGAATATTGTAGGATTAAACAAAACTGTTATGCTAGGAAAGAATATATTTATGATAAACCAAAATTGTTTCGAGTTGCATAGTCTTTAGGTTTCGTAAGTGCACAAAAGCGTTATGTCGTTATTTTAACGCAAATATTACTATTGATTATCAAGTATTTATGTATTAATTTAAGTGATTTGAAAAGAAAAAAACAGTCCCCCCATAAAAAACCCTAAACAAACAAACAACAAACAAACAGTCAAACAAACAAAACCAACAATTTCATGGGATAATTTGAATTCAATATACATTGAAATCTAATATCAAGAAGGAACGATTTGGCATCGTATGATACTGTATATAATCAAAACACTTTTTGATTTTCAGGTTGACTCTGAGAGTGACGTCGGCACAATACCGGCAAGGTATGCTTTAATACTAGTAATTTGATAGCACAATTTAGACATGTTTAGTTTGTTGAAAGGTGCCTGTTGATTCCAGAATATACAAGCCTCACAGGAATTTCGTATTTATGACACTCATTGAAAAATCGATTTGCTAGAAAATAAACAATGTCATGTTCCCTTTTCTTAGTTTAACCTTTTCATGTCATTAATTCCTTCTTTTGAGTAAGGTCTGAAAATATGCTTACAAATTAATTATACCTCCACAAACGAAGTTTAGATGGGGTATATAGGAGTCAGCTTGTCGGTCGGTTGGTCAGTCGGTCAGTCCTACGGTCTGTCCACATCATGGTTTTCGGACAAGAGTTTGGAATGAGGTATTGTAATCAAACTTGTTATATAGCAACATTATGTGGGGACCCCTGTTGGTATTGCATTTGAACCCCCTGGGGTCAAGGTCAATGTCATCATTACAAAAAAACGAAAAGTGGTTTTCGGACAATAACTACAATTAGGAATGAGATTTTGGAATCAAACTTGGTGTATAGAAAGCTAATATGAAGACCCCGATTGGGATTGCAATTAATTGAAATAATTATTTGTACAGTTGATTAATCATTTACTTTTAGGATGAGTTCAAATGTTTCTTCAGACCTTTTATTTTTACAAAGGTCAAGGTCGCTGGTGGGAGTATTAATCACATTCAGTGATAGGTCTAGCTTAAGTACCGTCATTGTTAAAAATATGCCATATCCAGCTGTTTCCAACATATTATAAGACTTATTGCGATATAAACTCTATAGTCTATAACGATTAAAAAAAAAAGTTTCGAGGAAATAAAATTATAAGAACTTATTTTATTTAAGGAAGCAGTTAACATAATTTTTGAACGTGAGAACGATTACAATGATAAAGTATGAATCAATTTTTACAGTGAAGATGTAAGTGATAAGTTGCTCAGAGCTACACAGCTTCAATTCTATCGAGAAGAAATAATGACAGCTGAGAAGAGGCGACAGTTAATGGATATTGAGAAAAAGTTCTTTAAAAATGCTGAGAATTTTTTCCAAAGGAACGAACGTGACGATGATATTGAATGAGAAAAGGGTTGATTAGATAGGTAAGTAAGAAAAAGAAAGATACAACACAGAAAAGGTTGCAAACATATTCAAATGAAGATTTTTGTGATGCTTATCTCATCTACAGTTTCAAAGAGATCAAAATGTCCTGGTTTATTTGCTGTTTTATTCCATTACACTAGTATTGAAGATTGATTACGACTTATTTGGTTATAGAGCCATGAAAGAACAAAAAAGACCGATATTTTATTGTAAATTATTTCAACTTTCGTTCCCCGAGTTCAGCACTTACATATCATTAGAACAATATATTAATTTAATACCTTGCTATATTTTGTTTACATGTAGCAGCATCTAAATTAAGTTTTCATATATATTTATACAGAACAGCTTATTGGACCATTTGACTGATCATTAACTGAAATCAAAGCAAACAGACTGTCAAATGATTGTGAACGTGATGGTTTGGAACTTGCTGATTGATGCTTACATTTCGAATACTTAATTTCTTTTTTAGACACGGCCTTCCGGTTATAGCTAAACTTCTTCTTCTCATCATGATTATATTTATGTTCAATATATTGCTTAAACCTGATTTGTAATAAAGACAGTGCATGGAATTGAAATCTGTTCTTTCTTTTAAGGGAAAATATTCAACGCTTTAATGGCAATGCTATATGTAACGGAAACACGTCAGCTAGGGAAAAGATGTTTCATTTTTTAGTTTATCGGAATGTGGATTATCAGAGTTGGCATATAAACTTTTAAAACAATTATAAATGAGAACTGGCATTTACCCAATTTCATGAAAACGACAGGGGGCGGGCGCGTATTTTTCATCAAATGTTTCGATACAAAATATATAGTCCGTGCTTTCAGATAGTTCTCATGCAGTGATCGGAAAGTAAAAGTGAATATCAAAAACAGTATACAAGGAAGGTAATGGTTATTGGGCCCTACACTTTTTAATGACATATTTCTACGTAAGAACATTCAAGTTGCCATCGCCGAATATATTTTCCGTTTTCGCGATGGGCTTTTCAACTCTATTTAGATATATTCTGACGCGCAATTTCTTGTAGATATCTCCTAAAGTAATTGAAAATGTAAAATTACAAAGAGCAACACTTTCAAAAAAATAATGCTTAAAAGTTATCAAATTATTATTATAGCACTTTTCCCTCATGAAGTTAAACGGGAGAGTATGGATACGTTAAAAGGCGTCCAATAAGTAAGCGCAACTCGACTGACTGTTTTAACACAAATCAATTTACTTTATTCACAAAGATTAAAAAAAACCCGTTAATTTCGCCGAACCTTTTCTCGATATGCTTAAAGATTCCGTAACACAATTTTTTCATGGTTTTATTTCATAAATATGATGCTCAAATTAAGATTTGTCCGTATTGTAAGTTCCAATGAGCATTATCTATAAAGATATTACCCAATTTAACATTTCATGTAAATAAAGGGAGGTAATTAGAAATTTATTTTCTATAAATTCTAAGTCAAATTTTCCAATAAGAAATGAATGCAAGTAATTTATTGATTAAAATATTTGCAGTACACATTTTACATATTCTTCGATGTTTGAAAATTGTTTTATTTGCATTATTATTTTCATATATAATTTTTTGTAAGTGTGGTATACAGACAGGCCTTTTGCTGGCACCAACAACCCTTTTCAGGGCTAACCTTACCTATTGTCAAAATCTCATTGACTGCCGTACAGTGACCTACTTTTGGCTCAAATTCATATCTTTGGCTAATACTCCGTTGAAATTGCATGGAGGTAAAATTATCACCGCTTTATGCTTCAAAATTAACTCTTTAAGGGCATGACTGGTGATATGTCCGGGTCCGTACTCGACAGCGAAAGCTGCATTTTGTGCCCGAAAGGGCGGATGGACCTTCATTAAGCATTAACTACAACAACAAAGTATACACACAGTAACAATATCAATCACAAAACAAACATTATCTTTTAAGATTTTGTCTAAGCGGAAAGGTATCTATTCGTCTTTTGTAAAACATTTGTCTTTTTGACAAAAAAAAACAAAAACAAATTAAAGCATTTTGAGAAAAGTTACTAAGAATGACAAAAATGGTCTATTTTCTGTGAATAAAATAAATTGATTTGTGTTAAAACATCTTATCAAATCGAGCATAAATCAGTAATCTTTCACTTCATGATCGCACTAAATCGGGGCAATTTTACGTTTCTGTTGAAGATATATCCTAAAATTTGTAATCCGGTCTAACATTATACATGTAAAGAAAAAGAAGAAGAAAATACAAAGGGCAAACATTCCAAATTACTTTTCAAATTAAGTTACATTTCTTAAGCACTTAACTTGTCCTTATATAGGTCTATCTGCGTTTTAAGTTCCGTGCTAATATCTCTTATCAAAGCTATGAACACGGTTACAACTTATATATACCTCTATAATGTAAAAAGTACCTACATGTACTGTTTTTAACGCATCACTTCCTTGATAAGATCATTTAACCGATAACATATCATTTTAATACCACTTATATCTTTGTGTCATGTTGTGGAATAAATCTGATAAACAGAAGTTCTAGAGAAAGAGATGAACTACGGAGTTGATCTTTTGACATTCCTTTGATTTGTTTCAATCCCTTAATTCATTTTCTACCCACCAACCTCATATTTTGAAATTCCAAAATTAACCTTTAAATGTAAAACAGACTAACCACTCAAATATCATGTCGTACACGCGGACGGACATACAGACTAACAGTATGTATATGTAGGTGAATATAATAGTTCACTGACCTTAATCAATTGTAGATTAGCCTTGCCATAGACTGGGATATTCTATGAAATATGAATAGTCTGTATACATGTTTTATTATAAAAATAATGTACAAACAAGAAAAGCACAATTAACATTATCAATAACACATGCGCATTTTAAAAATCAATAGCACATAATTCTTGAAAACAAATGAAGAAATAGAATAATAATATTTCCTTAAGTGATAAAGTTATAGTTAGTCTAAATGCCAAAATTTCCAACATTATACTTAACAAGAAATATCTTTCAAAATGATACTCGGTTTTACTTGCATTTGTTATTTCTAAGTTTTCGATATATTAAGCATGGATATATGGCAATAACTATCCTTAAGATTGTATTTTAAAACTATCTGTAAAATTTTATTTTAGAATGGCAAAACCTATCCATTACATTTTATTTTATGATGAACAATGAGATTTCCCGATTTCAGTTTGTAATTATAAACGACCAATGATAATTCTTCTTATATTTAGTTCGTCCCTGTAAATGTTACAGGAAGTCAAACTGATTTAGACGGTCCTCGACCGAAAAAGTTCAAATACGTCATAGCGTACATTCACATTATTTAACTTAAACATTTGTTGTTAAGATCTAGACAAATCTAAAACCGTAATACCTTAATACCTACTTATCTCAAATAAACAGTTTCCTAGCGCACAATCCTAAAACGCGTAAATTTTTGTATTTTTTTATTGACAATATATTTAGTCTTTGTTTTGCGTATACGTTTGAACCGAAATGTTGTTTTTTTCACGTACTAAGGTTTGTCAGTACAACTTTGGTGTATATTTTTATCTTTAATCCACAGTAAATGTTATTGCATCAACATTTTGTTAACGTCAATATTATTTCAACAGACTTTTTTTTCTGACATTTGCTGTTAGATAATCTACTCTGAAAACACATGTTTTTTGTTGTTTTTATAAACACACGAACATTTCGTTAGTTCACCACGCCTACGAAAATAAGATCTCTTGTCAAGATTATATGCAACATTGTTGAATAATTTTGCTCAAATGTACTGAACTTCGTTGTGGTGGAAAGAAAGCAGGAGGAAATCGACACGTAGGGTGGAATTAACGAGGATAAAAAAAAAAGAATTTTCTTCAAACATGGATATGAAACTTTGTCTTTTTGTATCTCTCATGACAACTGTGCATTTCGGATCTGGTATGTGTATAATTTATTGGAAAGTTATAGTCTAAATATATTATCAAAAAGAAAATAAAGATAAGTTAATGGTTTAGCATACTATTCTGGTCAAATTAAGCAGGTATATAATAATCATCATTAAAGGCGCATTATGCTTAGAAACGAAGTTTTCCTTCTTTTGTAATTAGGCAATTATGAGTTTTATAACATTTAAATAATGATTTTAGAGCATGTTAAATGTTTATCACAGTCATGTAGAAAGCAGTGCTGGATGTGTATTATTTGTCATAGTTGTAGCAAAAAAAAAGACACGGGACGTTGGGACGCGGTTACACCATTTTTTTCTTTAAATACATAAAAAAGCATGGATTCCAAAAATGTATCTTTCAACAAGTGATTTCAAAAGATATAAAATCACTTAAATATCTAATGGTTCATATTAATTACAAATTTCGTTTGGATGCACAAAATGTATATTAAAATGTTGGAGTATTTCAACGTGTAAGTATTTTTAATATATAACATCTCAATAAATCTGAATAGATAGTAACAGTTCCTTTCTCAAATTATTTCAATCAAAATAAAAGAAAGACAAACATGTCTACTGACAAAAAATACATAGAAACATATGCCTTGTCAAAAAATCAAACTAGCATCTTCCTGTAGCACTTTCGAACTTCTTTGACCACTAGCAATGTACTTAAAGCGCGAGGGAATTATTTAAAGATCAAAGCAGCTTCTGCTTGATTAATCGTTATTTGTTTAAAAAAATGTATGATAAGTTACTATGATATGTTACAGCTGATGAAGGCCGTGTCACTGTAAAGGAAGGGGAGCATGCCATTTTAAAGTGTTCTTTGTCAGGCAATTTCAAAGTGGTAAGCGCACTTTTCTTTCATCCTTCTTTTTTCTATAGAATAAATATACCTCGAACAGTTATGCTAATCTATCCCTTTACTTATCTCATTTGCGACATATAATATGATCCAAGAAGTAAACCAACTCTATGATGGCCGATTGCGGTCATTTCAAACCCGCGATATTTTCTGCCGAAATCGTACAATTGTCGCAGGGAACGTATAAACCTCGATATTTTATAACAGTTGTTCGAAACGGCACTCAAGAGGCCAGTAGCGTCCAAGGTTTGACTCTACATTTAAAATATCGCTGCAAGTAAAAGCAATTTTCAGCCAGAGACATTTCCCGGCATAAGAAGTCGAGGTTTAATGCTCAAACTTGACTTTTTACAAGATATGCATCAAACAAAATATCGCGGATTATAATAGAAAGCATAGCGGGGCTTAGTCTATGTAGACAGAAAGTGTTACGGTTTTCTTCGTAAAACTCAACTTTTTACGACGGAAAATTCGAGAGTTTCTTTAAGTCGCGACATTTTATTCAATTTCGACATAAAATCTCATGGATTTAAAATTTCTCGCGACTTTAAAATGGACGCTACCGGTCACCTCTAGAATGGATTATGACAACAAAATGTACTTCTTAACCTTATACTTTTACAATGAGTCGTTTTTATTTTTCAGTGCTTTATTTATTTTCAATGCCGTTGAAGGATCGTTAATTGTCTGACATTGTTCTGAATTTGTTCATTTCTTGCTGCAAATCATAACAATTATTTTCATCAATTAAGTCAAGGTCTTGATGACTATTTTAAAATGATCATCATGCTTTTAATAATTTGATGTTTGCTGTCTAGCAGTTTCTAGCTATACACCGTATCTTTTTAATAAATGAAATATAAATCCGTTAACGAACGAATACATAACTTTGACAGAACACATATATTTATGTTACTATCAAGCATTACGTTATGTTCGATGTTGCTCTTCAACTTTTCTTTTAAATGAAATATGGACCAGATAACTGACAGCATTTCTTTTTCTTGTTTAAAATTTCATAGCAGTTTTATAGACCTTTTCATCAGTAAGCCAGGTTAATTTATAAAGACTGTTTCATTGAACTATCATGTACCATCTGATTATACAGTTCATATTCAAAAGAATTAATTTATCTTACACGGAGCTTCAATTATTGCGGGTGACCTACTGGTTAAGGTGTCTGCCTCTAAACCCAGGGATCATGGGTCACGACCATGTTTCTTCATATGACACTAGTGCTGGTTGGTTCCAGTAAGCGGACTTGAAAGTGATTCATATAAGTTGCAAGAACTTGTTTCGCAATCGAGCTTTAATAAATATATTTAAGCCAATTATTGCGGTGTTGCTTATTTTTTGTAAATAACTGGTTACAAAGAGTAAAACTGGCAACTGTTCAAAATATATAAATCAATCGCTGTATTTATTTATTTGCTTCGTTGCCTAATAAAATGTGTCTCTGATTTTATGACGTAATATAGATGCTTAACTGTTAAAAAATAGACAATACTGGACGAGAATAATCAACAGCCGCAAAACTGCTAGGAAACCAGCAAAGAATAAGATAACCTACACTTCCCTTTCAGTATATAAACATTAGTAATTTACATTTGATTATAATTTTAAATCGTATCAATTAAGGTTATATGGAAAAAAGCAGATTCACCAATGCCGTTAACTGTTGGCGAGAACGTTTTTACAAGAGACAAACGTGTAGCAATAGTAAGAAAGGGGAACGAATGGACACTTATAATACAAAACTCTGTGATGAGTGACGGCGGAGAATATGAATGTAGGGCAACTATGGATGGTGTTGCTGTAAAGAAGTCATATTTTCTTGATGTTCAGTCAGTGCCAGGTATAAATTATTTGTACATTTAAAAAAGATCAGGACTGTAAAAATCAAGCGGTCAAATGTTGACCACTAAGAAATGGTACTGATGAACAAGTCAACAGTACTCTGCTTGAAGCGGAAGTAAAGAGCTTTTGCCACCAGTATAGAGCTTTGCGAGCATGTTCATCCCTGTTTGCTGATTAACTATAAATTTTCATCTTGATGTCCCAAAAATTGATAATAGATGGTACATGGAATAAAAATTGGACAGGTGTTTTTTTGTAAACAGCATATTAAGTGGCCTTTAGAATTTTCACCAGTGCAAAAGATATGTAAAAATATTTTAAGTTACATTCATAATAATTTTAGAAGTGATATTCCATATCTTACATCTATATGTTTTATTTTTTTAATATAGTTAACATCTATATTAAATATTAAAACAACATTTTCGTGGTCGACATTCCAAACCTTGTCATAATTTACATTAGTATTATAAATAATAACTCCCCGTACCGTAACTGCTCATACAAATGTTCACGGAAAACAAACGGGACCGATTTATTTTATCCTATCATATCAATGATTATAAATTGAACAGCTTTCTTTCCATTAAACATTTGACTGATTGATATATTTACTTTTCGTTTAATTATAGGGACAGAGAAAACAGAAAATGTACAGTCAAATGTCACTATACAGGGTGGAGAAACTGCTTTACTGTCATGTTCTATTAAAGATTCCAGTCTTTACCACGTATGTATTTGGGATAATTTTTGTGACTTTTAATTCTTATTCTTTGCTCACAGAACAGTGATGACATAATAAATTCAAAGAAAGAATGCGTAAAACATTCCTTTTCAAAAATGCGTAAAGCATTTCATTCTAGAAATGAGTTAAGCATTTCGTTAATAAATGCGTTTAGCATTCCACGAAGCATTCTGTTTAAGAATTGCGTTAAGCATTCTGTTAAAAATGCGTAAAGCACACCATTAATAAAATGCGTAAGATATAATTCCATTCAAGAAATGAGTGAAGCATCAAGTTTGTTTTGTATATGAGTGTGTTGGCCAGCTGTTTTTAAACTTAAAGGAAGTATAAATTAACATTTTAAGTCTACTGAAACTTAAAAGTATCAGTTTTCAAACTATTTATAGATTTGTCACTCCTTTCCTGACAACTGAGAAATGCCATCTTTAGATTCAGAGACAGCTCTCATTTTTGTTACCATCTTAACTTTTTTCAACGCAGTAAAAAACCATAAGATTTTTTTTCGCCATTTATTTTTTTCCATCCAGATTATATGGAAAAAAGCAAGCACCAGTACGGTTATATCTGTGGGATATCATGTTTTCATAAGAGACGACAGATTCAGTTTACACGTTGATATTCCAAACTGGGATTTAATGATTAAAAATGCAAGACCAAGCGATGATGGAACCTATATATGCCTAGCAACCGACGACAAACGTTCTGTGACAAAAGTTTTCAATCTTGAAGTTATACCAGGAGAAGGTACAACATAACTAAACATAGACATAAAGAAATGAGCCGCGCAATGACAAAACTAATTGTTATGGTTTTGCGACCAGTATGGATCCAGACCAGCCTGCGCATTCGCACTGTCTGATCAGAATCCATGATGTTCGCTATCAGTTTCTCTACTTGTAATAGGGTTTGTAAGCGAACATCATGGATTCTGATCAGTCTGCCCGGATGCGCAGGCTGGTCTGGATCCATGCTGGTCGCAGACGCACTGTGTTGGTTTTATCATTGCGCGCCTCAAAAAGGTTTTTGTTTGGGAAAAATAAAGTAACGTAAAATTAGCATTCAAAGCCTTTCATCTTACTGAAACTTTTCATTTCGTTAGGCCTTGAAAATGTCTACCAGCTTCGTTTCTGTCCTTGACTTTTGTTATACTAAAAAGCGGTGAAAAGAAGCTTGTTCGGTGCAATTTATGTGTTAACAAATGTAATAATAAGACACTTTTAAAAAGTTTCAAATATCTTTATTCTTTTGATAAACATATAAGGGATATTTGGCCGTTTTAAAGACTAGAATCATATTGATTTATGAGGCATACTGTGCCTTTAATTAATTAAAAACGAGAACAACAAAGACATCCTGAAAAAAGAAAGTCACAATTACCATTATTTATTCTTGCAGACGATGTGACGACCCCAGCAATACCAAGCACTTCTCCGTCACGAGTAAATATCAATATTATACTACTGCTTGATCAAGTATATAAAGTTATATCTCTGCTGCCGGGTATTAACTAAAAAAATTAAAAATGTCACAAAACAACAATTTTTCACCAAAATTATGTGAAAGGCCACATGTTAACATGGAAAAAACTAGATTTTGGGTACTTCCAAGGGTTTTCATCATTTTTTGTTAACGCGAAACAACGCACTTTCGACCCCCCTCTTTCAGGCCTCAAATAGTGAAAAAATGTCCTATTTGTCCCCAAAGACATGTCTTCGTTTGAAAAAAGTCAACATTTGTGCCAAGTTTGATTAGTATTGAAGCATTTTTCATAGTTTCATAGCAGTTGTAACAGTAGGCTTTTCAATGAAAACGGCCATTTTCACAATATGCTCATGAGGGAAAGGGTTAACAAATAATTTGTTTGAATTTTGAGCACAGTTTAGCACCGCACCGTTCCTTGGCAGGCTGTCAAGCAGTTTTACATTACTAAATCCCTTCACTTTCGCAAGGAACTGATAACTTCTGTACATGCCGGAGCAGATGTACAGTGACCGTAGAATGGTTTTCATGATCAATCACAACAAAAGTGACCTGCATCGTCCAAGAATAGAACACTTAATGGCCCGGCTTACGCTCTATACCTATTTAGCTTACCGGACGTGCTTATTCTAATATTGTTGTATGAGTATGGCGAAGACATAAAATAATTGCTAATTGTGTAATTTTGTTTACGTACAGTTTCCATGTGTGTGGTGTGTAAAATAATAGTACAACTATTTTGAACAATGATCTAAAGAGAATGAAAACGAAATAATTTTACCATGATGAATTTGAAAAAAATATTTCATCAGATATAACTTTATACCCTTTAACTCTATAAGTACTAGTAATACACTAAATTTCGACAGAATGTAAAGAATTCCGTAATGTAGGTGTGTGCTGCAATAGACACCCGCACACAAAACTATTTTATTCTACGTTTAATTATAAAATGTAACAATGAATTAAAAACATGTTGATAATGAATAATACACCTTTCTTTCAGGATGATTCCGATAGTGGAAGCGAGAATGAAGCGCCATCTAGGTATACCATACCAACTGTATACTGAAGTGCTTTCAATTGTCATTAACAATACTATTTTAATAGTTTTAATAACTAAAGATAAAAACATCACGTTTTAGTCAATTAATTTTCATTAATGTGTCATATATTTTTTAAACTTTACTTTATGAATAATTAATTTGTTTCACTTATAATTTTATTCAAGCAATTTATATAAAATCGAATTTTCAATTTAAAAAAGATAATCCATGACATTTTTAACCCTTCTAATGAATTTTGATTCCGTTATTTTTATTTTTAACAATATGCTTTCTTAAAAATATTGACTTATCAAGTGTACCTTGCATGGATGGTTCTTCATTGTCACGTCACGTGACAATTCAATGAAATTATGTCTTAACTGAATACTCGATTCTAACTAAATTTTACAGTGATGAGGTGAATGACAAATTGCTGAAAGCGACTCAACTTCAGTTCTACCGAGAAGAAATATTGACAGATCAGAAGAAGCGGGAAATAATGGACATAGAAAAAGATTTCTTTGAAGTTGCCAAAAGGTATTTTGAAAGCAAAGTAGAAGAAGGTGGTACAGAATAGCCTGCATATGTTGTTTATATTTTAATTGTTCTACGTGTATGTAGCACAAGCAAGCTTACAAATGACATGATTAAATAAGAAATGTGCATAATAGAAAACAAACAGTTGTCAGGGAAGCTAAAGAACTTTTACATTTGTACAAAATCAGCAGAACACAGTTGAAGGCAAATCATACATATTTCTTGGTACGTGAATACTCTCAAATCTTTAAAGTCGGTGAGACTATTTTTGTCTTAAGTTTGTGAGGCATTGTATATGTTAAAATAATTGTAGGAATCAATTTAAGTAGAAGCTAAAATGAATACAAACGTGGATTAACTATCTGGTGTGTCAGTGTAAGATGTAAAGTTCTTCTTTAACATTATGTTGGTTGGTGTGGTTTATAACAAACACGAACTATTGAGAATGTTGTTAATAAAATTTCTTCACAAGGAGTCATACACATGTATTTATTTATTTATCATTTCAAACAAATGTTATATCATGGAAACATGTCTTTATATTGTATTTCAAATCCTGTACACTGCATGCTTTTAAATACATTTTAAAAAGAGCCGGTTGTTCTTTTATTTAGAACCATGATTTCTTTTATTCACTTACAGAAAATATCACAATACTAGTACACTGTGTTATTGAATTTTTGATAAATTTTATAACTGTTTCTATAATAAAACAAAAAGAAATTGATGTTGTTTTATTCTTGTTTTTTATTTATCTTTTTTTTAATTTGTATAGATATAATATGAAGCCGAGGTCGAAATGGGGTTGATAACTTTTTGTTTTGAGAAAAGGGAGCACAAACATCTTAATAATGGTGTTGTGAACTACTCTGTCTTGATAAATGGTACAGAAAAAATTCTCCAAATGGCGTTTTATTCTCCTATGTTTTGAGTAGAAAATTGGAACAAGAAAGTAGGCTGGGTTGAGTCTGCAGGAAATTTAGTAGTTAAAGTCGTGTACCCTGTGAGAAGGTCAGTGAAACTAAACGGGGTTGCACTACAATAAAAACAGTTTCCAGCAGATAAACAAAAGTTTTTTGTTTCCAGATTTGCACACAAACAAAACGCATACATTTACAACAAAAATAAAGCCACGGTGAAATACAATATGTCTGTATTACATGTACATGATAATAATTGTAAAGGATGAATAATAATGTCGCGGGAAACGTCAACGAAGAACGGTGGATGAAACACCGCTGTACATGAGACATGAGAAAATGTGGCGTCCAGTCGATTTTCCACAACTATGCAATTTAGATTTTACTTAAGCATACTTTTACACACAAAATTTCTGGTTTTAAATTAATCATCTTAATTGTGTATTCGTCTTAAGCCGCTGCTATGGGGCGAAAATGTTGGCTTGCAATTACCATATTGGTCCTTGAACATACTGAAACAAACCGAGCGTTCTTTAGGGATTCTGGTTTTCTTCTATTCAACGGTAAGTTTGTTTGTACAGGGCAACAATCTTTGAAAAGCGCACACTTTCAGAATTCTATATGTTGGGTAGTTTAACCATTAAATATAAAAAACAAACCAAATAATGTAATAATTGTTAGTTTAATATATTTTGACACAACGTGCGGTTGTTAAATGATGGTGCACTAGATAGGGTAAGACGATACTAAACAGCTTCTGACAAAGTGTAGTTACAAAAACAGAGAAAAACAAAATCCCTAAAGAAAGCCCAACAGGGCAAATTTGAAACTGTTGCAGTGTCGGTTTAATGAACGGTAGTGGTACATGTAGTTGCAGGCTACTGTTCATACACCCTAGCACCGACTAAAGCAGAATTCAACAATTTACATGAACTTGTAAACATTTGAAATTTTAAACATCAGGGTGTTTTTCAAAAACACTTACTTTACATAATGCATCCCAGTATAGATTATACTGTAATTGTATAACGTAAATGTAAGGGGTAACTGTTATTTTGAAGCTTGATTTTCGAAATTTATTGACCTAACCGATTCGTTTAGTTTACCTTAAAGTTTGTATAAGACAGAATCAAATAAAAGCATAACTCACGCATGGACGCAAGAACTCTATTTAATCAAAGGCCCCTCCGTGTTTTTCAAGTTGCATTATTTCTGCAGCTACAAATAACTCTCCCGGTTATTATCAAAATTATCAATGCTGTTGCAATTCCAAATACAAGGATAATAGTGATATCTTTATCCTCTGTAATAACTGATTTCCTATTGGTTTCTTGAGCCCTTTCCTTTAGTTCAATGATGTCCTCTATGCAGGCTATTTCATTTCCTTCTTCAGTAGCGTCAAAGTAGTCGCCTTCAACTCGCACACCTGTGTTTAAAATTTTTATAGCGTTTTTCCCAAGCATAACAAATTCACTTGAGTTCAGTTCCATTCTATAACAAAAATGTCCTTTTGAAAGCGTAAACCTCTTTTCATCAACGTTTAGTTCCGTAGATTTACGCGTCATTTGAAGTTTCGACTTTGTTTCCCGTTCGATCGCCCGATGAAAGCGGTCGATTTTATATACATTGTCAGATAACTCAACTTCTAAACTGATAACAGTTGAGTTGACTTCTATTTTTGCATCACCTATTTTGGTAAGCATTTTTCGAGATATTTCAATCACACTCGAATAAGTTTCTCGCTCGATTTTGAAATTAACAGAGACAACATTCATCTTCAGAACAGAGTTCGAGATTTTCCGCCATATATCTATTTGTATTAGTCTGAAATTATGATTAACCTCTTTAGCAAGTATTCTCTCAAGTTGGCTTTCGTATAGATCAAGGAGAGCTCCAGACTCGGGAATAAGGCTCCTTGGTTTAATTTCAATAATGAGATTGAAATAAACACCGTCTACGTATGAGAAAACTGGTATGCATTTTCCATTGTTAATGTAAAAATGGCGTGGGCACAGAATCTTCCTACAGATTTCCTGTAATAAAAAGGTCTTATAATTATCTAATAATTAGATCAAACGGCAGAGTCTTACATATATAATTATTTGCATGTAAGCACACATTTTCTCTGTTTCAAAATGTTGTGCTACTTATAAGAACTGTTTTGTATGTTATCAGTTAATATAATTTTGTATGTTTTGTCTGAATAAAGTCCATACCTGACAACTCATTTTAACAAATTTATAATAAAGCATATTTAATTTCATTCATATGCGGAAGAATAAAAAAAAATTATATATTTTCAGCAACCGCAAACATAAACTATATAAACGTTACATTACTATATTGACTGCAATATCTTCAAATGTGCCTTGTTGGGCTTTCTTCAGAGATTCTTATTTTCTCTATTTTACAAATATCTAGTGAAAATCGAAGTTACAAAACTGTAAAAAGATTTAATCTTTTCATGCATCTACGCAGAGAGACCGTTAATTGTGGTGTAGAATACGTTTTGGTATCTCTATCTATAAAACAAACAACATGAAACTGCAAACATTTTGGTTCAGTGAATGACAACAGTGCAACTGCTTACCAATTTTTCGTCACGAATGTAACCTACGTTACATTTGCCGACATATTGTTGAAAGATATCGACTACAGATAGTGTATCTTCTATATACGTTTGCTGATTTTTATTAAGAACATGTATTTGTAAAAAATATTCCGTGTAATCTGGATAGAATAAATAGCATTCCTCAGGTAAAGTTTCGTTATTATTGCAAAGATAACATGCAATATTTCTGTAGATAGTGAATGTTCCTTTATGCAATGATAACACTGGTAATAGATATCGTCTGCAAAGTTCCCCATAGACTTTCACTATATTAGCGTTAGTTATGACATCAGGGTCATTTGGGGCTATTTTAGGGCAGGAATTCACATCTGTTTTGAAACAGCTGTGATGTGCCACTCCCCACCCATTTTTTATGAACTGTTGTTTTAAATAAACAGTGTGCTTATTAATAAAAAACTCTTTTAACTAAGTTCAAAGTTTATCATAAAGTCAAAGAGATACATTAACTTTATAATTCACAAGTAATTTTACCGTTAGATTTATTAATTATTCCTCTATTCAAAGAAGAACATTCTAACTTGTAACCATTGTATTGATATTCCGCCATTTTGTTTGCTTACAAATATGACGTCACACATTAGTTGATTTATGACATCATCATCTTGTGAAAAACTTTTCTTTACCTGTGGGGTACAAAGTGGGGTTACATTTAATTTATTAATCTTAAAATTTCATATCTCTACACATAATAACGATATTTCATTTGTTTCATGTTTCATTAATTCCAATAATTAATAGCTTAATGTAATATGTGTTTAAATATATTGTTTTATGTTGTATTTTTATCTTTAATGTAAGTTGTGGGAGGTGTTGGATCTGTAGGAAATCCTTTAGGAGCCTTTCCTACACTTTTCTTAAAGTCTCCCACAGTGTGGGACAGTGTAGGAATCTTGACTATAAAAGAGCAGTTTTCCTGTCGGAAGTCACTCCGCTCAGATCAAAACATTAGAAGCAGAAGCTCATTCAGATATTATTAAGAAATTAATTACAAGTTACATCTTTGGTAATTTTGATAGCATATTTTCTTAAATACTTAAGCATTGTTAATAAAGATTTAAGTAATAATTTTTTGTTCTAAAAGAGTATTTGTTGCATAAAGTTAAGCATAGAAACTTCAGAGTTCTTTGAAAGTTTAAACAGTTGTTTTAAATTTATTTTGCAAAGAGCACATGAGTATAGTATATTAAAGTTGAAATTTCCATTAAAGTAATATTTTTTATTGTGAATTTTATTGTATTAAGTTGCCGACACCTCCCAACGTACGCACACAGATCTATATTCTATTTTATAAAGTTGTCGCGGTAAAGTCGATATTTGAAATATTAATTGATGCTATTTTAACAGCCGTCACTAGTAGAGTTATACATCATTTTACCGAAGTAATATAAATTCGGATAATTATATTTAGATTGTGATAATACTATATATAAGTAGCAGACTTTAATTATTTAATATAATTATACAGCATTTGTTCAAGATTAAATAATATATATAGAGTTCATTACGGTGAGTCCGTAAATAAACATCGTTAACTTGAAATTGTCTTGGTTGTTACTTGAGAAGTTTTATATTAAATACCCTTTATATATCATCCAAAAATAAAACAATAAACTGATGCGGAGTCATCCTCTGATAGCCCAATCTGAGGAATTTTTGTGATCGCTTGGTGTCCGTCCGAGTCCGTCATATAAATATATGAAATACAGAAGCTCTATACCAAGAAGAACTATTCTTCTGAGTTAGCGAATACATGCTAGTAGAATAAAAGACATACAAGAGACAGCGGTACGCAACATTTGTGGTGGCAGCGGTGGGATCCGTTTCTTTATAGCGGATCCAGAGATACGAACTTTCCTGAGAAATCATTATATAGTACCGCGGAACAATCGCCGATCATCTTTACAATAGAGAAAATTAGTCATTACAAATTATAAATTTGTATGAATTATGACGGACATTGAAGACAGTGAAACGGAAATATTTTTCAATCACAATATGAGTTCTCCAAAAGTAAATGAAAACCCACAAATCGAGTCCCATTTCGAAACAAATAGCGAGGATGGACACGATAACAGCCGTAATCCGTCCCCTATTATAAACGGTAATTATCAGCGAAACAGCATTGGTCAACGTGATTTACAAGTTGAAGATGGGATGTCGGAAACTTCAAGCATGCAAAGTGAGGAAGATCAACAGGAAAATTTTACATTAAATGAATGTATAAACGACCTCAGACTGCAACAAAAGGAAATAACTTCTGTACTTAAACAGATGATGAATTTAGTATCAAATCAAAGTACAGCTACATGTACGTCCAAGGCAGGCAATAAAACATTAAACAAGTCTTCTGAACATGATAATCATTATACACATCATGATATAGATAGTCACAGAACTATGGAAGATCATAGCTGTCAAATTTCACATACAATACAAAATAGAGATTATCAGAATGAGCTGAATAGCCGTGAATCACATAATCACGTATCAAGAACTATGGAAGGCCACAGTCGAAATAATTTTCGGACATATGAAGGGTTAGAGAATCAACATAGGGTGGTGAATGGTTACAATGACAACTGTCGTGTTGCACGTAATAATCCAACAAGAAGTCAATCTCAGACAGGTGTGCAAGGTAATACAGAAGTGTACACAAGTAATGTACGTTCAAGGTGTCCACCTAGTCGAGTGCGCCCAAACTATGAATTTCAGAACCATACAGGCAGTGATGGATATTGGAGAGGAAATTTGAACAGAAATTCAAGAACAGCTAACTTGAGTTTAACACCTTTTGATGGCAAAGATGAGTGGGACATTTGGATCAGTCGATTTGAAGCCATTGCAAAACGATATAACTGGGATACCGAAGAAAAGCTAGATCAACTTCTACCTCGCTGACAGGGTTCTGCAGGCCAATTTGTTTTTGGACAGTTGCCTCAAGATATAATTGAGAATTACCACTTGTTAATCAGGGAACTAGATAGTAGGTTCAGGGTCATACACACTTCAAGGTCATATGCTGCTAAATTCAGCAAACGACAACAATTAGAACACGAAACTCCAGAAGAGTATGCAGCAGAACTTAAGATGTTATACGACAAAGCTCATGGATACAGAGATAGAAGAACAAGACAAGAAGATCTCGTGAGAAAATTTCTAGACGGCTTACAGGATGAAGAAGTTAGGTTTGCTGTAGAGTATCAGAAGGAACCAGAGGATATAGATGAGGCCGTATTTCATGTTGCAAATTATGTTCAAACAAAAGTTTGTAGGAGACAAGAAGAAGGTGACAAACGAAACAAGAAAACAAGAAGAGCAAGCTATGATAGAGAAGATGATGGTAATGACTCAAATGAAATAAGACAACTGAAAAGAGGAAATGATAAGATGTTGGTTAGGAATACAGAAAATATGACTCGGTGCTCAAGCACAGAAACAAATGAAAATACTACAAATGAAGGAAATTTGAGTAAGGTCCTAGAACAAATTCTAACAGAAGTAACTAAGTTTAATCATACAAATAATATGAGTGCAAATAAAGATAAGACAAAAGAGAAGAAAAGCATTGTATGCTTTAACTGTGAAAAACAAGGACACATAGCTAGGGAGTGCAGAAAGAATAGACGTGGACCTGAAACAGATGGAAACCAACGGCAAAAATATTCGTATAATTATGCAACTTATCGTGAGGCAAATGTCAGCACGAATCCTTTAAACATGACAGGACCGGCTCTTGGGGCCAAAGAGCAGTCCCAGACCCAGTAAGAGGCAAACAGTCTGAGACTGATTACTGTGAAGAGCAAGAAGAACAAAAGGAAAATAGCATTACAGTAAAACAAAGACCAATAACAAGGAAACGTGAGTTATGTCCAGGTATTTATATTAAAGGAGAAGTTGAAAATATACCAGTTACGTTTACAGCAGACACAGGTGCATCAGCTACAGTACTAGCAACAAAAGTTTATAACAAACTTGAGGAAAATAAAAAACCAACACTGCGGAAATCAGCATGCTTATCAGGAGCAGGAGGCTTACCACTTAATGAATTGGGAAAAGCAGAGTTTAACTTTAAGCTAGATACGCTTGAACTTAAAGGTGAAATGATATTTGCAGATATTGAAGATGAGTATCTGGTTGGAGTCGATATATTACAGAATAGCGAGAAGGGCCCCGCAGATCTATTGTTAAGCAAAGGACTCATAGTTTTCGATAAACATAAGATACGCTGCTCTCAAATAGGTCTACCAGAAAGCATAAGGAAGGTTACAGCTGCAGATGATTTTACAATACCAGCCATGTCAGAAGCCGTTATAGATGTATTTGTCAAAAGAGATGAAAGCGACGACGATGACAAAAACGCAAATTATATTATAGAGCCTACTGAATGCTTTAAAGAAACTTATCCTTTGCAAATGGCAGCAACATTAGTAAACTTGAATTCTTCAGCTACGCAGAAGGTGAGACTCCTGAATCCCTTCTCATCAGAGTTCACAATAAAACAAGATGCAGTTATAGGAGCAGCCGAAAAGATTGTTAATATTGCTAAGGTATTAGCTACAAGTGAAGGAGTTGTTGATGATGAAAACAACTGTTGTATTAGAAAGATACAATTGAGTGAGCATAAAGAAGATGTCTCACAGATTTTTGAAACAAATATCGGGGCAAACATTGATGTACCAAAACATGTTAAAGAATTATTCGAAAGAGCTAGTAAAGGTAGGTCTGACACTGAGATAGCACTGCTCACAGTTATAGGAGTAGCCGAAAAGATTGTTGATAATGCTAAGGTATTAGCTACAAGTGAAGGAGTTGTTGATGATGAAAACAACTGTTGTATTAGAAAGATACAATTGAGTGAGCATACAGGAAGATGTCTCACAGATTTTTGAAACAAACATCGGAGCAAACATTGCTATACCAAAACATGTTAAAGAATTATTCGAAAGAGCTAGTAAAGGTAGGTCTGACACTGAGATAGCACTGCTCGCAAAACTTTTGAATAAATATGCAGATACATTTTCCAAAGATGAATGGGATATTGGCTTAACAAATCTCACTGAACATTCTGTTAACACCGGTAACGCACTGCCCATAAAACAACCTCTAAGAAGAGTACCTCTTGCATATGCTGCAGAAGACAAGAAAGCTAGACTATAGACGCCTTAATGAGTTGGTTAAACCGGATGGATTTCAATGCCTCGAATACAAGATTGTCTTGACTCCGTGTCCGGTGCTTGTTTGGTCTCAACTTTCGAATTAACAAGTGGGTATTTTCAAATACCGCTGAAAGAAGAAGATATACCGAAGAACGCATTCGCATGTAAATATGAGCATTACGAGATGACTCGCATGCCCTTCGGGTTAAATAATTCAGCAAGCACGTTCCAACGAACCATAGAATTGGCGTTACAGGGTCTGCAATTGGAAATTTGTTTGATATACATAGATGACATTATTGTATTCGGTTCAACATTTGAAGTACACATTTACAGAGTAGAACAAGTTTTGGAAAGGATAAAAATTGCAGGAGTTAAATTCAAGCAAGAA